CGTGGGTGTAATTAGAACATGAAGAAATCACTTTAATCTGTGTGCGTAGCTTGATCTTAGCTGCGTGATCCCATGAAGCGATACCAGCTGTACCAGGACCACATAAACTTGGTATCGCACCTGACTAAGAGAAACACGCTCCGCCGAGCGTGACGTTCGCGTCAGCCAGCCGTGACCAGTTGAAACTCACTGGATATTAAAAATCCTCACTATTCTAAATATATCTATACCGTACTTACCTTTGGCACTTAGCATTGCTGTTATATCAAAAGTCATGAACTATAAGAGGACGTTTATAATCATACTAGGCAAATGGACGATCTAAATAGTAGTTTAATTTAATTTTAATTGAATTCTCTGAGAACCATAAGAGCCGTAATAAATTAACTACTGATAGAACGTCACATGATGATGGCAATTCCATAGACAATGCGCTTTGTGCGCTTTTCTATCTCAGAGAATAATACAAAGCTGCAAAAGCTCAAATTGTTGTTATTGCGGTACGGCGAGCGTGCCATGCGGGCTAGAAATTTACGGTTTATTTGTGATCTAAATACAGACTATACTTTCTAACGTATACATTTACAAACGGAACGGAAACCACAAAATTAATTTAATTTTTATAAATTGGTCTCTGAATATAAAGCATAGAATCATAATTATATTAAAATAGAATTTATCTGTTTCCACATTTATTGGTACCACTGGTACCTTTTTTAAACAGGTTTTATATCCTTTATATATTTTATAAAGGCGTTTCATCTTTTGGCACACACGTAGACACGCGAGAGTTGTGGTCTGGCTACTCACACTCTTCATAATGTGACAGTTAGAAAGTTGAAATTTTATCTATGCTGAAGCGCATCACTCCATCTCTCGGCGTCTCAAAACAACAAACCGCAAATGGAGCCCTCTCCGCCTGAAAGGCCAGAGAGCCCGGTCGCTGAGTAACGGTCGATATTACTGAACAATCACTTCTGCCACGTTGTATTTTGCGCCGTCGCTTATTGCTTTATGGCGTTTGAATGAACTTAGCGGTCCGTGTTTGTTATTGCCGATTCAAATTAATATATTATCCGGATGCCGATGATATTCAGATGCCGGTTTTGATTTAATGTCAGCGCGACGCCAAGCTTCTATTCCGAACTATTTACGTTTGCAATTAACGAGCGGCTTATTCATTGTTTTACGTGCTGTACAGGCTAATAAACATGCACGTTAATTTTAAAAAGACCCCCCCCCCTCTTCCCCCCCTCCGATTCCCCCTTTCAAACTTTTACTTCGCGAGAAGACATACGGACCCCTGATACTGATTCATTCTTTAAAAGGCCTGCGCCTAAGCTACGATTTGCCCGTATCAGCTTTTCTAATCACTAGCTATATCCCGCGTCTGCGGCCTCGAAATCTTCCTTTTAATAGAAAAGAAAAAAAACTCCATCCCAGATTTCGCTTCAATTCCTGACCGATCGATAAAAACTGTATGGGCGGCGAACTTTTACCATCAGGTAACCGCTTGCTCGTTTGCCCCCTTTTTTCATAAATAAAAAAATAGAGACGTACAGATAAAAAATCATACTTATGACTAAAGATTGGAGGTAGTACGGCGTTCGAATCTGCGGAGGTTGGTGACCCGGCGGCGGCGCGGAACGTCGGAGGGAGAGACGCTCCGCCGCGCACGGCTAATGACGCCTTAATGGCCCAGGAGTCATATCTCACTTGTACCACCTGCAGTTCCCTCTAGAGCCAGTCTTATCCTTCACCTGTGGTAAGAGTAAAATGAAGTATCAGTCTATACATATCCCACTTCTGGGCAAACCACCTCTCTAAGCGTATCACGGCATAGTTCGCCACACAGCCCCAATGCGGATTGGTGGACTTCACATACGAAATATTTTTTTGTTATTATTTAAAAAATATGCAGGTTTCCTAACGATATTTTCCTTCACCGCTGAGCATGTGATAAGTCAGCACTTGACATTAACAATTTCGTTAGTGCCGGCACCGGGGATCGAACTCAGGTAGCTCGAGTTTATTGAATCAAAGGCGAGCACCCGGACACTGAGCTTTCACGGCTGACTTGTGGTAGCCACGCAACATTTTTCACTGTTGCACATGGACAGGTCAGGAAAAACAGCAAAAAATGCACAGCTGGACGGCGAGGACTTACCATTTAGTGCAACGCTTTCCCCCCAGCGACCAGATAAAAATCGATGTGTGTCGCGTTCCAGGGACTCCGAACAGGCTGGACCGATTTTGATGCGATTTTCAGGTTTCTCCAGATAAGCCAAACGTGTGGTTTTGCCAGTTTGGTGGCGTACATTTGCTAAGCCAGGGTCGCTATCCGAAAGAAAGTCGAAACGCACAATGGAAGGTTTAAAATAGAACCGTGATCCAATGGCGTGATCCGATTAAATCGGATCTGCCTGGAGGATGGGGGGGGGGGGGGGGACGTGTCGAAACGGTGGCGGTGCTAACGGCCAGGGCCAGCGGCGCGGAACCGTCGGCCCACGGTTCGATGCCTTCGAGCGGACCGACTACCGGGCGAACTAGATCATAGACGAACACGCTCCGTTGTCTAGACGAATGCGGTGCAATCGATCGAAACCAACAAACTTTCAATGGTATAGACAAATATATCCCATATTTTTCTAGCAAAAACCAGTAAAAACCGGTGCATTGCAATAAAAATTGTATAAAGCATCAATAGCAGTATCGACCACCTCATGAACTACATCGTAGAAAAATACGCTCCATCGTCTAGCCAAATGCGGTGCAATTGGTTGAAACCAACTAACTTTCGACCGTATGGAAGTATATCCAATATTTTCCCAGCGAAAACCAGTACAAACCAGTGTATTGCAGTAGAAACTGGTATAAAGCGTTAATTGTAGTATGAACTACAGGCAAACTACATCGCAGACTAAAGAATTGCACCCTATTCGGCTACACGATGGGGCGTATTCGCTCCAGTTGGTTGAAACCAATAAAATTTCGACGGTATAGACAAATATGTTCAATATTTTTCCAGGCAAAACCAGTACAAACCAGCTTAAAGCAGTAAAAACTGGTAAAAAGCAGCAAAATTAGTATGAAATACAAAAGTAACATACAGAGATACAAAGGATGCAAAACTAGTATATACTAGATAGCAGTATGAAGCAATATAGAGCAGAATAAAAAATTTAAAGCGGTATTAAGCTGCGTCGCGTGTCCTATTTCAAATATCTATGTGTCATTGAGTATCCAATAGCTGTCTAGTTGTCGTATGAAAATGTAAATCTGAAGCCACTAATACAAATCATAAAATTATTTATACAAAGATATTAGTAAATTGACTACTCTTTTTAGTCTTGTGTTTCCCTTGATAACATTTTCAGGGTTGGCCAGGGGACATACCTCATTGTTCAAACTTCTTTCTTCTTTTCTTGTTCAATCTTTTTATCACGTGGAGGTTTATCAGAGTGGTCGAAATTCGATCATAATTAATTTAAATTACAAGTTTGAGCAATATTAATTTATTCTCAAATACAATAAACAAAAGAGTATATATGCGTGTGCGTGTCAAAAACATGGTAGTGTGTGTAAAGCTTTCTATATTAATTTAATGTATTTTTTATTCATAATTAAAAAAAAATATTAGCATTCTGCACTCCTTCTCTATGTAAATTATACCTAAGTGTGGGAAATTTCATACTACTACGTCCGCGCATTAATATTCGTATTTGCTTCACGTATTAATATATAGATATACAGTATGAAGTAACTTGATTCATATACATAGATTTTCGACAGGATTCTCTTAATATTTTTTCATGAAAATATAATTGTTCACGCCCAATCTGCGAAAGCACAGTGAAGCACAGAAAAAGTTTAATAGAATCAACATTCATAATTTAAATTTTTCCTCTACATCCGCCTTCATATTCTCGGTAGAGATTCTTATCAATCCGATTTAATGAACATTCGTAATTTGAATCAAGCATCTTCTAATCATAGTACAATTATCATCTCGAGAGCGTACACCTGCGAATTTTTTAATTAACAATAATTTCGTAGCATACTAACAATTATTTTTTCGTAGTAGGATTAAAAACTTCTTTGTATTAACTACTTGCTGCTGCCCGCGACTACGTCTGCATAGAATAGGCTGAAGGCGTAACATTCAGACAGAAAGACATATATACATAAAATATGTATATAAATTATAGCCTATGTTTTATTCTGATGTATAAGGTATATTATTGTAGTTTCATTAAAATCCATTCAGTAGTATTTGCGTGAAAGAGTAACAAACATCCATCCATACATACAAACTTTCGCCTTTATAATATTAATAAGGATTATAATAACGAATGAATATTATGTACTTTTTCATTATAATTATTGAACCATAAACGAATTAAGTTAGTTATTATAGTGTCCCCGTTCCTTAATTTGCTTAGTCTGATTTTGGAGGTCAATGAACGCGCAGGTTGAATTAATTGCCTCACTTAATCTCCGCTCCCGTCCTAGAGTCGTCTATGAGTATTACACAGCAACGAATAAGAGTTAACATAAGGAAGTGACAATTGAATGAGATGCGAGTACCCTTTCCAGGGTTGTCTTTTCTCGCTATAAGTTTCAAAATAACAAGCACTAAATATAAGTTTGTTGTGGAAGTGTTGTAAAAAATCGTAGTAAATATATGTCTGGACACCCTGTCTAAACGAAGTAATCATTCCTCATTTGCGAGGTAATAAAAACCTTAACTACGTGATGACCCTAGGCTCTTCATTAAGAAAACAATAGTGTGTCATGTCACCACAGGTCGCGTAATATCCAACGAGACGCAGCGGGAGACACACGGGCACGACCTGTCCGATCGGACACTCGCGCTCATCTAACGCGTCACTCTGTTCGAAATTTAAATACCGCGATTATATTTTCCATCCGCGGCCAGTGTCAAAACAAAAGGGCAACAAAGAGTTTTTAATAAAAGAGTTCGCATACCATTCGCATGGATGTGGCACTTTTTGGCGCGAAACAAGCAGGCGGCGGTGATGCTGGGATTGCTGGCCGTCGCGGCGTTCGTGGTCGTCGTTCTGGCGACGAGGGGCGCCAGCATCGGCGTCGTCGAGGTCACGGCCGCGGAAACGGATGACGTAAGCGACGACCCGCACGTATTCTCCACGTACAGGTGTGTGAAACGATATGTGCAGTCGAACAAGGAATATGTAGAGTGGTCATTGTTGAGAAAAACACTGTTCAAATACCGTTTTTAAGTATACGTAAAGGATGAACACTCATGGATTGATTGTAAAATATGTAATGAATGTATGTTATTTTCTTTATCGTCACTATGCGCATTGTGTGAAATAAGTATATAAAATAATTCCCCAATAATTCAGAATAGTAGCGAGTTTGAAATGTAATGTTTATTTTAAAAAGTAAGATTAAGACCATTTCACAGAAGAATAGAAATTGTGTACATTTCTCGAAGCGTATTCATAATTCCTTAAATTTCGTCATCATTTCAATAAATGAAATAAACACTATCGTTCTTGTAGTAAAATTACGAATGGATATATGTTGCCCTCCTCACATGGCCTCCTTGATTGACCTGCTAAGACCTCCGTACACCCTTCTATATTGAGTTAGATGGAAATTGGTTTTGATTGCTCTATAAACTCAGAATAACTCCATTCGATTCGTTTTCAATCTTCGTAAGTAAGTCCATGCATCTTCTTACCGTGCTCAACTTCAGTGGCTACTTATAAGCCATCGACGTTCTCTAAGAGCACTGACTACTTTGTCATCCTTTCTGAACTCTTCTTCTACTCCGAGTTACTTATCCCATTTTCAATATTTATGTGCTGTCAACAACAAAAAACTTCGCTCTTCGCAAAATCGTCTTCTATATCTCTATATTATATGTAATTTGTAAGTATTGGCGTTTTTCTTTTTTTTATATCTTTCTGTGCACCGCATCCTCTCTGTACCCCACTAAAGTTGACAAGGAGAATGCCTTTGGCATTATGTTCGAAATTTTGTAGTAATAAATAAAAATTATTGTTACAAAATTTCCGTAAAAATCCCAAAGACGTATCGTTACATAAAGAGTGAAAAAAAAAAGACTTGGTATAGCATATTCGGCAACGTAAAAGTATTTTTTTAAGAAAAGACTCCTTTTTTATTTTTATTTTGATTTATTTCTAAATCAAGCAATTCTATTCTATATTTATATATAAAGGTATATATGTATGGGTTTTTATTCTAAACATTTGATGTAAGCATCGTTTGAGAGCATGATCTGTTACATCGATATTGTAAACGCCAATAGTCCTCCCAAACGCCAACTTTCAACGTGACTAATATAGAAAAATACTCAGCATTGTACACAATGCAGTATCGATACAATGTCCAGTTGAATATATCGAGTATGAATCACGGTTACTATCTGAAGTCCCTTATCGCGTGACGGGATGTGCACACTGAATACTGTTGTTTTGTGGCAGAATGAATGGGCTCTCTATCTGCCTATTAATTAAAAACAGCTACGAGTCAGTTTTTCCTTACCCTCCAGAACATTAATAGACGGCACTTTGACACTATTTATCAAATGCTTATCTAATGTTTAATTGCGACAACATCAAATAAATCATAACAAATTATAAAAGTCTGTCAAAGGTTAATTCACAATTACTTTTTTAATGAATGGGTACCTCTACTTTACGTTAATCTTTGTACGAATTTAGAAGACAACAGCAATAGCTTCTGCGTGACTCACCAATAGTAGAGAGATAATTCATTTATTATTCTGAAATAATTCCAGCCTGCCGTCGGACAATAGGTTCATGCCCTCCGTGGGCAACGGTCACCTGGCGACCAACGTGTTCAGCGACACGGTGTATATGAACGGGCTGTACAACGGCTTTAGAGGCGAGAGCCACCGCGCGAGGATCCCCGCGTGGGCGAACATCAGGCTCAACTCGACCTTGACACACCACCCGTACAAACCCGTCTACAGTCTGGACACCAAGCACGGCGTGTTCACGGTCACAGTTGACAGGGACCGGTCGGTGGTGACGCAGAGGATATACGCCCACAGATTCTACACGAGGGCAATCGTGAATCAGATCCAGGTGGCCTCGAAACATCGGCCTGGTGAGTTGTATTCGTATTAACTAGTAGAGCTGAGACCGGTTGCTATTCTTTTCAAAACATGAAATTAAATTTCATTGTAAAAATATAGAAAAAAATCGTTTATTAATTATTTATAAGACGAATGCAATGATGTGAAATTTTAATGCGTCAATTTAAAAAGAGCAAATTCTTGAAAACGATAGCTTGCTATTTTTTAATGATAGGCGCTTAAAATTTATCGCTGTAAACATTCCCAATTCGTTAGATTCGCTTATGATCAGTAGTCGTCTTACATTTAAAATGATGTGACGAGGAGCTTTATGATAATCCGTATGTAAAAATACTTTTTATAGCATGCACATAATGGTTCTTTATTTTAAGTGCATAGTTTCAAAACAGCACGATTGAATTCTCATACTAGTAAATATTATTAGAAGATAGACAACGATTATACATTTACACAAATTTTAGTGATAACCATTGGTGTAAAGTATATACACACAATTGTATGCTTAATAAATTTAATGTATAAGTAATGTTACCATCTCATTACTTATTGGTGTACTTTAAATTTATTCAATAAGTCTTTAATGTTGCAGATCCGAATTTTCTGCATCCCGAGATATGGATCGCTGTCAAACTGATGCCCGGGCCGGATAGCAGCGATATTGAGTTTGGGGAGCCAGTGCCGGAGATTTTTGAGGGCCGGACGATCTGGAGAGCTTGCGGTCAGACCAAAATATCGGAGGACCCCGACTACCAGCCGCTGCCGGTGGACGTGTGCGCGTATTGGACCTCCGTGCCCGACCACTTGGTCGTTCCGCAGCACGGCACCAGGGTCTTCACGTTCGCCATGACCGCCGACAAAAACGGAACCGTCGCGAGGGAAGAGCTAATTAAAGGTTTGGTTGTTTCTATTTTAGAGACATTACAAATTTCTACTTCAAACTGGCTTATACTCTCGGCTTTAGCCGCTTGGTGTATAAGTAATATTTGAAGTAGTAAAAATATTTTTTTCGGAAAAAAATTTCTCCACTGTATTATCAGTTTTGTCTACATCTGTTCAGCCGTTGGTACAAGAGAGACAAAACACACAACCTATTAAATTTATATCATACGGGAGATTCTCGACGTTTAGAATTGTTACCAGCATCATGACTTCCGGGTGGAGTGATTGGTGTTTGGTGTCCTGATACCATAGTTAACTCAGATCACCCTCTCGCCTTATTCTTTCAAGGAAATGAGCAGTAATCGAATAATTTTATTAAAAGTAAGAGATACGCGATAAAATCCGTAAAATAGTTTCATTTCACAATGTATAATATTCGCGTAAAATCAAGAATTCAATTTTAGTAAGATATAATATAATAGATTTTATTGCAATAGTAAATTATCAGTATACAAAAATAGTTAAAGGTTACTTTCTGTTATTAAACCAACCAGAAAAGGCATGTTGATCACGTGTTTTCAGCTAATTTATCTTAAATCAGTTTTTACCAACAAGTCTTCAAAGTAACAGTTCTATATAATTTTATTATTGTTAGGTAGCCTACACTTTTTTTTAAACTTCCTTCATACAAAGATCCTATATCTTTATAAGTATAACGACCCATTTGGGCTGTCATTCAATGAGTCCAATCGTAAGTTACGGATTCGAATACCAGATACATACATTTAACCGTGATTTATTATCTTTAACTAAATTTAATATCCCTTTTTCCGGTCTGTATCCTTACTAATATTATAAAGACGAAAGTTTGTATGTATGGATGGACATTTGTTACACTTTCACGCAAATACTACTGAATGGGTTTTAATTAAACTTTACAACAATATAGCTTATACATCAGAATAAAGCATAGGCTATAATTTATATACATATTTTTATGTATATGTGTCTTTGTAGTCTGAATGTTACGCCTTCAGCCTATTCTGCGCAGACGTAGTCGCGGGCAGCAGCTAATTAGCAATATGTCACTGCCAACCTCATGCTGACATGAGTATGTGCGTAGTGTTACAGGAGGACGGTGAAGAATTGTACGAGAAACATTTGGAGCAGTGGCAGCGACTGTACCAGAAGGCCACTATTCAAATCGAAGGCAACTTGAAACTGGTATATAACACCTATTTAATCATACTAGATATTAATTAAACAGGTCGACATAGAGTGAAAATTAAAACAGTAAATATTTTAAGTTTATCAATGAAAACAGATCAGATCTCTTGGAATTTCATTAAAGGCGGATTTTGTTACTACAATGATGTGCAAGGTCTGTTCGAGGAAATGTTTATAGCATAATTATTTTTTAACTTCTGTTTTTCACTTATAGTTCTGTAAAAATTTTAAAGCTGCTTTAACAATTTTTTCAATACTCAAAGACTATTACAATAGAAATGGTGCTGGAAACATTATGATACACAGATAATAACTCAGGTGATTTCAATAGGAGTGCTTTATCTTGAGAATATAAGGGGTAGACTAAGTATTCTTGTGGTAAAGCAGGCACAGTGCTTTATATATGAACCAAATAAAACCATTATACCATATAACCAAATAAATAAAAATGCCACCGTTACATGAAAAATTTAAGCCCCCGTGAATTAATTTAATAAAGCTATCGATCAAAATACTGAACCTTTTAAATATTTGAAGAAGTTTTCCTTAAGTTAGAACAGACTCAAGCTAGTTTAAGACAAGTCAAATTATAACCAAATAAATAGTATTGTCCTTTCGGATAAACTGATTTCTTTTTATTTAAAAGATTACTACGTATTTATTTTTACTTCAAAACGAAAACAATTGTTTATTATTTCATAATAGTAAACCACTAGTTTTAATGCAAACAAAGTAAAGCTTGTTCTATCAAAATCAAATTTGACGACACTTTTAAGGTGCTACCAAAAACTAAGGATGGCGTAAATTGTACTAAATTAAGTATTACATTTTTCATTGACACTTAACATATATGCTAATATTAGATTTACGCCTGGTTTCTGAAACACTGATCATCGTAGAAGTCAACTAATCAGCTGTCAAATGAATTTTCAAATGATATTTGATTTGCCAAAAGGATTGTTAAACTCCCTGAATTGATCTTCTTAATGATCGGAATGTGTACGTTTTCAAACGGTCATAAAATTAAGATGAAATCTTTTTGTTGCAGGCCAAAATAGTTAACGGTATCTGGTATTACATACTAAGTTCTTTGCCTTCGGAGGAGTCTCACCTGCCTTTAGACCGCTTCTTTGGGCTCAGCCCCACGGGTCTCGCAAGAGGCGGCACACTAGACGATTACGAAGGTAATTACAAATTACAAAGTCATGGCGATGATTGAAATGGCTTGGAAGTTTCAATTTCGTGGCCTGAAAGAAAATCAACTAATTGTTATCAATTATTGAATTGTTAAAATATGTAGAAAAAAGTGCGAAAAGATTGTCGCCGCTGTGGGAATCGAACCCACGTCTTCGGCATTCGCGGCCTGACGCTCTAGCCACTGAGCTAAACGGCTGATTACCACACCGACAAAAATCTTAACGCATTCTTCTACATTGTTTTCTTAGCATTTGAAGCAATGCTTGCCGCGAATGCCGAAGACGTGGGTTCGATTCCCACAGCGGCGACAATCTTTTCGCACTTTTTTCTACATATTTTAATGTTCAATCTTAAGTGCATATATTAGCACTATAAACAATTTAAATTATTGAATTGGTTAATTCAGCCGATCCAAATCATGGTGACATCGCCGGCTTCAGTGGCGCTAAAAAAGAACACGTAACAAAGCTAATCAAATAGTTTGAACTAAACAATAACTTAATGTAAGTAAAAAACCACAAATGAGTTAAATTCTCAGAAACGGAAAGATTTTACAAACTTTGTAATCGATTTCGGATATCGATATCATTCGCAATAATTACGTTTAACAACTGCCGGATTTTCATATTCAAGTGTTCAACAAAACAAGTAATGAAAGGGATTATTTCGAGAAAATTTTGCGGTGGAAAAATTACCTTTGAACCGCAGAATACTTGGTTAGATTTCATATATCTATCCGAAATTATTTTGGTCCACATCAAAATAACTTGCGAAATTGTGTTTGTGTTATCCACTATACTATAATTTTTTTTCTAAATTATTATTTTCCAGTCTCACGGCCTAATTAAAAATAATTTTTATTTAATGTACATTTACATTTATTGGATAATTCACAAAGTTATTGAACATGTCAGTCAACCGTTACCGCAATCTGACTTTCCAGGGCACAACTTCTGGGACACGGAGACCTGGATGTACCCGGCAATCCTGCTTCTCTATCCAGGCTACGCTCACGCACTGCTCCAGTACAGACTTGACACGGCGTACGTCGCCGCGCAAATAGCAAGGACTACCGGCCACAAGGGTTACAGGTAAATGGTTTTAATTTGAAATTATGTAAATGTCCAGCGCTTTCGATATTACGTAAATCTAAGTGCATTTCCTTCTTCATCATCATCATCATTAAATGCGTCCACTGTTGAACATATGCCTCCCCCTTAGAACGCCACAATAAACGACACTTTGCATTTGTTTTTTTGCCCGCATTTGTTTTTTTGGTTGCCCGCGACTCTTACGATGTCGTCATACTGTTACTCTATGCCGCGGCCGTTCTAGAAGATTTTGTGCTAAAATTACTGTTTTAATGCATTACTTAAAAACTTTCGGAACAACGTGATTTCTACCACTTAAGGCAGCTAACACACAGACACACGCCAGCCACAGACGAGTTGGGGACTATTCTTTACCATAACATTTTTCCATCGCAGTGGATACTTTTAGTTATCCCTATGTAAAACAACAAAATTTGTATTAAGAGGTATTCATTACACATTAACATGTGTGTGTTTTTTGTAATTCGTGATAGAAGCTTTGCGTTAAGTGGAAGGTTAAGCATTAACTTCGTGAACGAAAATTCTAATAATAGGAGTATGTGATTGTGAAAATTTGTAGAAAAATGGACGATGTTACTCGCCGCCGCGGCATCGAACCCACGTTTCCCGCAATCGCGCTTACTCTATTCGGCCATTTCTCAAAAAATTTTAATCTTTCATCTATTTTTTTAGTATCGTTTATTTTATGGGGTTTTAATCGTTTATCTTAAGTTCAGAGATTATTATTATAAAAACTTAAAAAAAAAAAATAATAAACAGGAAAATGTGTATTGTGAACATAGTCAATGTATATTCAAGGTGTCGTATCTTTTACGGAATTTTCGTTTATGGAATTCCTATGACTCATTTTCTTGTGTCACGTGTGTGTCACGGTCTACTGATATAACCTTGTTTACAGTTGACAAGAAAGCAAGTGAACATTTGGCTTAGATTATTTTTTTATTTCGTTTTATTGGCATTATAATGAAACTTGCGTGTCCTTTTAATACTTATGTTTGATTTAAGAATGTAAATTAATATTTCTACGTTATGAACTTTTAATTCATTCTATATTAACTACCTCTGGGTGAGATTTTTCTTTGTAACTTACCGAAACCGAAATGAGACATTCTAGTATATGACTTATTGAAACTTCAAAATCTGGTATTTTCTCGTACGCGTTTCAAAACAAAGCAGTCGATGGGTCGACTGTAAAAACCGAAGAACTGCTTCGCTCACTAATAATAGTTTAGGATATCGATCATTAATAGCATGAAATTTGTAGTGCATGTATGTGCACATTTGACATAATTTAGAGAAACACGGGGTAATATCCTCCTATACTAATTACTAAGGAAAGTAACAGAATGCTTTTTAAATAAAACTAAAGAAAACATAAATGTAGAAGAGACAGAGATTTGTTCCAGCATTAAACTATCATTTTATTATCAGGAATATTAACATGCATTAAATAAAACATAGAACTATCCTTTTTGTTCTGTCATCAAGTGCCGTGTGTCTTAAGCATTTGCGACATTGTGGACTAACAGGTTTCCATGGGAGAGCGCATACACTGGCACCGAGGTGACCCAGCCCTGTTGTCCAGAAGTAGCGGAGTTCGAACAACACATCTCCGGTTGCATTTCGTTCGCGGCCAGACAGTATCTGGCCACGACACGGGACGAAGAATGGTTGAAGGTAGCAATAGAGTCAAAGTCGAATATTATAATAAACCTTTAAAACACAAACGTTGCTTTACGTTTACTTACCTAAGATTTTTTTTAAAAGCATACATTGTTCCATGAAAGATTTACTTATTCTACGCAGTTTAGTTATGGCTAGAATTAATTTATGTCTGTTCCTAGTATTTGTATCCAGCACATTACTATGCCTTGAAAACTAATCCTTATTTTTATGAACATAAATAACATTTTAAAATTTGTATTGAGAACTTTTTTTATTTTAACTTTTAAAATTTGTATTGAGAACTTTTTAGTTCATCATTTTCCGCTGAAAAATTAATGACGCTGAATTCCCGTAACATAAACTAGTTTAAAAAATTCGAGACACGTGTAGTCGTGCATAGGTCGACATTATGCAATCACTAGCAGAAAACTGGCGGCCCATTTTTTAAACATTATTTATTTGCGAATAGCATTTAAAGTTTATGTTGCAAGAACTAGGTTCATGAAATAATTTGTTTATATCGCAGTGTAAAAAAAATAAGTAAGTACTTCACGTTTTAGAATTGCGTCATATTTGTTTAAACGTCGAAACCAACATCGAGACCGAAGATAGATAAATTCAAAGACTGCGATCGTATATATATTTTTTAGCGATACAGTAGGAAATAATAAAATAATCCTTATGAATCGATAAGTAGAGTTATTATTGTCGAGAATTTGTGACCAGGAGTCGAGGATTCGACGCTTTGTTAATAATAATAATGTAATAATAATGAGTTTAATAACCATTAAACTCATTATTTGTAACCACAAAAAGTGAAAAAAAAAAAAAAAATATAATCATTAGAAGCCCTGTAGCCTGTGATCGTTTACAACTGTGTTACAGACCACAGTATTTTCCCCTTATGGTTAACACTCATTGTTATTGTAAGAAAATGGACACGAAATGAATATTAGAATAAAAAAAATAAAAAGAATGAAAAAAAAAAAGAAAAATGTTTCGAAACAAGGATATGAATGAGTTTAAAAAAATTTAAAATAAGGATATTAAAACTAAAAACTAAAGCAAAATTATACAAAACGACCATTGTTGAATAGAAAATTTCGTATGCACCATCAAATGCTTTATGGAATTATTGGAATTAACCCGTCCGGGTTAGTACAACGACCTCACGGAAGACCGGCGTGTAGTAGAAGTGTTTCACTTCTGCGTTTCGTCTGGTGAGTGAGGTAACCGGGGCCCACTTTATTAAAAAGTGGCAACGCATCTGCAAACCTACGGGTCCTGCAAATGTCCATGGGCGGCGGTTACCACTTAACATCAGGTAAACCGCCCGCTCGTTTTCCACTTTCTGACATAAAAAAATACAATTTAACAATTTTAACAGAAAACTCACTAGGCAATTAATAGAAAATTAAATAGTATCAATTGAATGTTTCCTAATCACGCCAAGTTTATAGTCTCAGATCATAGTATAGGAATATCCACTGTTAATTATGTTTAATGATTGTTTTTTTTTTTTTTAGCAAGGCGGCTGTTCGCTGGTGACACACATAGCTGACTTTTGGGCTTCCCGTGCCGTTATCAACTACACTTCGGGTTATTACGACATAAGCAGTAAGTAACTGGCCATCACTCTGTGAAACACAGCATAAAAATTAATTAATATACGTTGCAAGGTTGACTTGGTGGCATAGTTACTAAGCTATTGGTTTGACTTCGGCTACGAGGTCGTGGGCTCGATTCCCACATAGGTCAAATTCTTTGTGACACACAGATGATATAGATATAAAATTTATCACAGCTGACAAAAGTAAACAGCTTTAGTAAAGATTCAAACGACATTATAAATTTTGATTACAGACGTGATGGGGCCTGATGAAGATCACAGCAACGTGACTAATTCTGCTTTCACGAATGTTGTCGCCGGATACTCCCTGTACTTAGCTCAGTATGTAACCGCAATTATGTTTTGTAATAACATACTGAATACTCTGTAACTGAATGTTTTTTTTTGTAATAACGTACTTTTTTTCACCAAAATTCGTGAAACTACTTCTTAACGTTCGATAAGGGACTAATAAATTTTGGATCTTTTGATAAGTCGAATTGTCTGGCGTCACTTTAAATATAAAACTACGCAACAGATCGTGAGGTGGTTTTTTTTACTAGATAGAGAGATTCAAGAGGAATGTTTATATGTATAACACATTGCACCCGTGCGACGCCGGGGCGGGTTGCTAGTATCTCGATAAAGGTTTATTCATATGTACCGCTGTAGCAGGGCCATGCAACAGCTACTGTTGCACGAATGGGCAGGCTCGGGAAGTCCACAGCCTCACAGAAGATCGGCGTGAAATGGAACTGTTAAACTTTCACGTTGCGTCTGGTGAGTGAGGTAACCGGTACACCTTGGTAAAGATTGTCAATGCTTTTGCACTTTGGTAAAGATTAAAACCGGCGCACTTTGGTAAAGATTGTCAATGCTTTTGCAAGCCATCGGGTGTGGTCGAAATCCATGGGCTAACATCAGGTGAATCGCCTACTCGTTTAACAAATTTTCACATATAAAAATGTACATAAATAAACGTTTAAGAGAGACTTCAGTAAATAACGGTTTCATACCATACCATTATATAGAACATAGCTCCCACCACGTAGCACTATTTTGTCGCAGGTACGTAGCATGCCTTTGCAAGGAGTACTACATGGCGAAGGTCGCGGAGCGCTACGCGGATATAGCTTGGAGCCTCGCGCTGCCCTACGACGCACGCTACGACTACCATCCCCAATACTCGGGCTACGGGAGAGGCGAAATCATTAAGCAAGCTGACGTGGTGCTGCTCGCCTTTCCGCTGCAGTATCCCATGAACGAGTGAGCGACATGTATCTCTGTGAATACAATAGAAGAGAATAGATAATAATAATAATAATATATTTTTTTTATTTCACATATTTTACAATGCATATATTATGTTAGTAAAACAATAACAGATGACAAACATATAGTTCCATCATATTCCATATAATTTCTGGTATGCAAATGCTTAGACAAAAAAAAATACGAAAAAACCGTAATAGTTTAGTTAGCTAGCTGTAAAAATAAAGTCATAACTTTGCCCTAACTTTAACATACCATAATAAGACCTGAAAAAATAAAAAAAAAGTATTATATTCTGACAGGTTATAGTACGAGGATAGATTAAATTACCAATTCCAAAGACACCTGAAACAAATTGTTGTTGTTCATCTCGTAAATAACATAAATCGGAAACTCTACTTCACTCTACTCCACTTTACACTATTCTACTTTACTCTAATTGATTTTCTTCTTCCTTATAGATCGACGAGGGCAAACGACCTCTCGTACTACGAGAAGGTAACGCGTAAAAACGGCCCAGCGATGACGTGGAGTATGCACACGGTTGGGCACCTGCGTTCTGGGGACAGTGAGAAGGCTGCAACTATGTTTAACAAAAGCTACGACGCATACGTCAGGGAGCCATTTAAAGTAAGGAGCCATTTAAAGCTTTTCAAGTTAAGTATAAAATGTTTCGACGCTGATAAACGCAATATTTTGGGTTTAAAGTAAGAGAGAGATGAAACGAAACCCAAATCAATATTGTCAACTTAAAAAAGAGTTTTTTTTAATTTGACAACTTTTTTTAACCTTTATCTCACTTAAACGTTCCACGTACCATGAATGTTCGTTTTTGAAGTGAAGCTTCTTTAAAATAATTTAGTTACTCGATGAAACGACAAACATAAATATACAGAGAGAAGCCGACGAGAGAACACATTACATATTCATACATTACACGGTATTTTATATTGTAGGTCTACTCGTTAGGCCATAGTCTCCCCACTCTCGTCTACTAAGCATTGTACATGTGTGTGTGTGTGCGCCTGTAAATAACCGAGCTAAAATGAGAATGTGTCGGTGTTTAATCTATATTGTTATCTAATATCTATATTGCAAACTCACTAATACTTGTTCTCATTCTAGCTTTTTAAGGGTTTTAGTACATGGGTGGGGAGGGGGGCGTTCGTGAGTATAGGATAGTATTTTGCTATATTGCACTAATACCTGCGTTAGTATACGTAAGTATCTGCGCATTACAAGGCTTTAACTATAAACGACGCGGTGTACGCGGTATACTGGTCTCCAGTCCCGTACACGGACACAATTTTTTTATTATTTCCATCCTTTAATTTCCTGGTCTCTCCCAAGGTCTGGAGCGAGCTCCGTAGGCCCGACGTCGGCGCTGTCAACTTCCTTACCGGGATGGGCGGCTTCTTGCAAGCTTTAGTGTTCGGTTACGCCGGGATCAGCGTCTACTTGGACCGCTTGGAAGTACACAGACCGCAGCTGCCGCCACAAACCGCCAAACTAAAGATCAAAGGTGATAGACTTGTCGCCGCGGCTGGTGACGATAGGGCTGGTCGTTTCTCGCTCAAAGGTTAAGGATAACTTTTCAGCGGGGAAATGCAGCTAGCGTTCTTGGCACCATGCCGCGTGGACTACGTTTATTAGATAATATGTAATTTAGTTAGATTTAATGTTATAAATACTGGTAATAAATAAATATATTAAAGTGTTTTATATTTTACATCTAGGAGGGGATATTTAAACCTAGGTCGTATAAGGCAGTACTTTCCTAGTTGTCATAAACAATGTGGAATCTCTAATTCGGATCTGAAAGTTGCATCGGATTCCATTTTTAAAAGAAATATCTAGTTCAAAGAAATAGTTATTTTAGTTTTATAGCTTTTTCTGTACTTATGTTAGGTCGATGTCTCGATAGCGCAGTCGCTAAGCCATTATTAGTCTCGGTGCCGGGGCTCGTGTATTTGTTTAATCTCTAGGTTATTGTTCTAGTTATTCTCAAGGGGGGTCGTACATAAACCTAGTCACCACCATTAACATCATTGTTCGCATGTTGTACCGACCTCACGTATGTGGAGAAAGAAGAAGAGAAATAAGAACCAGGTTGAGGTGTGGTTTTTTTATGTGTTTAATTTAAGTTCATCAAGTTTGATACTAAACTTTCGGGTTTCGTCTGGTGAGTTAGGTGGCCGGAGCCCAATTTTCAAAAGGTTGTCAACGCATATGGAACCCTCGGGTGTAGCAGATGTCCATGGGCGGCGGTATTCGCTTAACATCAGGTTAACCGTCTGCTCGGTTGGCAACTTTTCACATAAAAAAGCATGCTCTGTGTAATGCATTACAGATTTTCTGTCAAACCATATGATTATTCACAGAAATCAGAAACATACATATCATCTATCGATAGTAATTTTTTTAATGTGCCACCGATTCGTCTGTCTACTCCATTGGAATTAGAATAGTTTGTTTTCTTCGTCATGTCAGACTCAGGCATCAGGTGCAACTCGATGCTTAGTTGTTATTACAGCCAGCAAACTCGTCGTAAGCATATTTGCAATAACGACGGCAAGAGGTCAATGCAGGTTATATTACGTAACGATGTACAGTTTGAATGGTCTATGAATATTCAATGTGAGATATATATACCTTATGGTTATACTAAAATCTCAATGTTATCCTCAATGCGTGAAAATCTTGACAATTATCTACTTTTATTTTGCATTTTAGCAGTGTTAGCAACACCATCCAGCTGTTGTCAGAAGTTTGAAACTCAAACATTTTATCGTTTTATTTTATGATTTGCCTATCATATTAATTTTGTATATGTAAAAACAGCAAATACATTTTCGAGAGCGTTGACATATTATAATAGTATTTATAAACAACAAACAGAACTGTATCTGTAAATGGCCGCTCACTTACTAAGTATACCTTAATATATTATAAGTATAATTGATAATGTAATTTAAGTTTTTTTCCTATACTCACTTTACAGCATCTCATCTGTCGCAACTCGCTCTATTTAACGTCGGTGAATGTTGTGAAAAGTTAATGCCGTCTCTGTGTCGCAATATGGTCCAGGTAATTTTTTTCTACCGAGAATATTTCCAACAGGCATAAAATACCTGGGCGCGAATCTGACGTTGGACATTGACGACGTGGACGTCACCCTTAGTGTCAGCTCCATCGACGACAACTGGCCTCTGGTCATGGACAATGGGAAACACAACGTGACGTTGGTTCCGGGTCTGTCAGGTATTAGTTTGGACGTATAAACCATGCTTTATTATTTAGAAATTGGAAGTGTAACGGAACGTTGTTAGGAAAATTGGAAAAAACTAGTTTGACTTATAAAAGAACACTTCGATGGATTAAACGAACGAATTTCAAAGATAATTTACGATACGAAAATGAGTGAGAAAGTAGAATATTAGTATTTAATAACAGTTTTTTTTATTAGTTTTCGCAAGGAGCACAAACGTAAAATCATTCGTTAAATCCATGAAATAATGTTAGTTTGCTCTTCTTGTATACTTAGCACAAGGAATAGATTTAATGTATGTCTTATATATTTGTGATCTATTGTTGTTACTAATAGCAAATTACGTTTCAGTTACGCTGTCAGGCGACGGGCCATTCGTAATACGATCTAAGGAGTGGAAAGACTGCAAACTGCCTGCTGATGTCATTGGGCAGCACTATCTCAGGCAGAATGGCCAGTAAACATTATAAAAGAAATAAGTTATTAACGCCAAATATTTAAGAATAAATAAAACAAGATATTTTATTAATTATATTCGTTTTATTTATTGTTAAAAGTAAAGTAACAGCCTATACATGTCCCACTGCTGAGCAAAGGCCTCCTCTATACAGAGGGTATCAGGGCATGGTCCACCACGCGGCCCCTGTTTTTTTCGAAAATGTTGCAGGTTTCCTCACTATGTTTTCCTTCACCGCGGAGCACGTGATAAGTCAGCACTTAAAGTTAAAAACTTCATTGGTCACGTCACAAACCGGCACCGGGGATCGAACTCAGGTTGCTCGAGTATATTGATTAAAAGGCGAGCGCCCGGACGCTGAGCTATCACGGCTCGTTATTTATTGTTAGCACTGACCAAATTTAACTTATTTATTAAAATAACATATTATCTCTGATGGTAAATTGCTGTAAATACTTTCCTCTAAAACCAATATATGTAATAATAGGAATGATTGTCAATTTCCTGTAATATTAATCAAACAAACTTTTATCAATTGTTTCCAATGAACTTATACCTAAAGTTGATGTTAAATGCAAATCATTTCAGTACTAAAACACATAAATTCCCCAACCAACTTGAGTAGTCAAAAAACATAAGGCGCAATATATCTACTTTGTATACTTTCTCATATTACAAGTTCGAAATTGAAATTGGAATATCAATAGTCTCTATAACTATTCCTATGAATATTTCCACTGCGTCAACAAACACATACTGGTCCTGTCTTTCCTCGTTTTCGAAAAGTTAGCGCAAAAAGAAACCAAGAAGGTTCCAGTTCAATGTTTTTATGACATACTTGTACAATGCGCTTTTCTGTAGGTATCCAAACCAAAGTTAGAATGGTAACCTGAAACCACCTGAAGAACAACTGACATGATATGATATGTGATATCTGTATCTACGCGTTACGTCGGACTTATTTTCAATAAGAATAATTATTAGAATGTACGATATATTATAATAATTTTAAACAAAAAAAAAATGAGGATTGCCCTCTATTTCTCTGGGATGCCATTATCAGATCCAGGTTTCCTAATCATGGTACCACCCTTGGGATATCTCCTTTCCAACAAAAAAAAAATAGTCATCGGTTCATTAATGACAAAGTTGTCCGCGAACAAACATAAAAAAATAAAAAATATATACGGTCGAATTGAGAAACCTCCTTCTTTTTTGAAGTCGGTTAAAAACGGGATTCATTAAATTAGGGCCGCATCGTATGACAGTTATATGTAACAAACGTATGAAGTTATAAGTTTTACTTTTAGGTTTTTTCTCACATTATTGTTTGATACACTGCACTCTTAATTTTTAATCAGAATTCGCTACGAATGCAAGCATAATATTTGTGATTATAATTTTGGACAGGTATAGGTTATGTCGGTAATTTTAGCAGATTTATGACGATTTACGTATATACAAATACTTAATTATCGAAGTTACTACCTATAAACAACTTTAGGTATTAACTAAAAAAATACAAATAATATCAAGATATAGCTACAATTGAAAGGAAAGTGCTCGAAATTCGAAGATAAAAATAAATTGTCGAAACAGGTGATAAAAATGCAGTTAGGTAACATAATTGACTTTATCTTATCCATAACGCACATTAATAAGCTTGCGCTAAGCAATTCTAACAAAAACTCTCGAAAAACTAAGGCGAGCGAGGATTGCACGTGGACAAACGCCCAGATGCGAAACAATTATCTGTTGGTCACACAAATAGTCGTCCCGTGAGGGAATCGAACCGACGACCCCCGACGCCGAAGCCAATGCTTTGGCAACTGCGCCACGGAGTCCTCAAACAGTTTTCGACTTTACTATGGCTTTGATGAGGATTAAGTTGGGATGGAGACAAGTTAATTAATGACAACTTTAAACGTGTTGAGCGTGAAAAACATATCCCAATTATTGGTGAAAACGTGTGCGATAATGAAATCGCTTAATCCGAGGTGTCGATTGCGACTTATTGCCGACATTAGCGTATTTACAATCGCTCTGCATGTAATAAACATGTTGCGTATTGTACAATTTTATGTGATGTAGGCTAAATGAACACAGCACGTGGAATTTCGTAACGTTCGGACGCCGTCTAATAAACTATGACAGCTTTAGGTATCATCAATTCTGTTATTTCTAAATGTTTTATCGAATAAAGGGCTAATTGTTCGAATATAGTGAGTTATTATCGGACACGACTGATAGCCTTTAGGTATTTTATCAATACATGCTTTATTAGAGGACATTGCCAAGTGTATCCAATGCTAAGTTACGAATGCAACCTACTCTCAACTCGCTAGCCGACGATCTGTAATAAAAATCAGGTCGAAATCGATCCTGGCCTCGCTAGACTTAAAAATTTCGGTATTTCGTCTGAAAGAGGTATAATCAGTTTGTATGCCTCAGGCTCTAACGGTTGGCGTATCTAAATTAGAAAGAGGCCGAGTTAGAAAAAAAAAACGAAAGAATTCAATATAAAAATAAAAAAAAACACTTTTTGGCATAGCGTGCGTCTGTGAAAATATCAGGCTCGCTTTCGAGATTGGCTAAGTCTTTCGTTATAACGTTATATTATGTTGTACTTTCAGTTCAATTCTTTTCAACTACTGTTTTTTTTATTTGGTCAGTTGGAAACAAGCTGACGGTTATCTGGTAAGTGATAACCGCCGCCCATCGATATTTGCAACACCCGTAGGGTTGCAGATGCGTCGGCACATTTTGATAAAGTGGGCCCCGGCTACCTCACCTCACCAGACGAAACGCAGAAGTACAAACACACACGGACGGTCCGGCCCATTAATGCAACAGAGAAGACTTGCAGCAAGCTGAAGTGGCAGTGGGCTGGTCACATCTTTTTTTTATGTGAAAAGTTGCCAAACGAGCAGACGGTTCACCTGATGTTAAGTAAATACCGACGCCCATGAACATCTGCTACAACCGAGGGTTACAAATGGGTCGACAACCTTTTGAAAATTGGGCTCCGGCTACCTCACTCACCAGACGAAACCCGAAAGTATTAGTCATACTCCACTTTACGCTGGTCTTCTGTGAGCTCGTGGTACTTACCCGGACGGGCCTGCCCATTCGTGCAACAGCCGAGGCTGCTGCGTGGCCCTACCACCGCAAAATGTATATTTATGTAAAGCGGAACAATTTTTAAACAACGCACAGTATGGACAGGCGTCATCTTTATTAAAACATCATTGTCAGTCTAGACATCAGGCAGGGATTTTTGCTTCGTAATTAATATTTTAAAGTATTTTTTACCGTATTGAAGCAAACTAATTTATTTTATTTATAAGTTTATAGCAATAAAATTAACTTGACAAGTTATATGAAAACCGGCAAGTGCCAGTCGGACTCGCGCACGAAGGGTTCCGAACCATTATCCATAAAAACGGCAAAAATCATGTCGGTTGTATGGGAGCCCCACTTATATATATATATATATTTATATATATTTGTAGTTATAGCGGAAACAGAAATAGATCATCTGTGAAAATTTCAACTGTCTATCACGGTTTATGAGATACAGCCTGGACCGCGTCATTAGTGTTTGAATATAATAAATAAAATAATAAAGTATAACAATTATTTTACGAATATAAAGTAGCTTCATATTTTTAATAACTGAATTTTTAGCTAAAAAACAGGAACTTATCATAAAAAATAGATATATATATATATTTACAACATGAGATGAGATAATATGGAACCACGACGTAACAACGCTAAAAGAGTTACAGCTAAATTTATTTAATTAGCAGGTCTTAGCTTATTAACATTGCTCATTTCATATTTATCTTTTATATTATGAATTACCTACGCATTGTTCGCAGCCAAAGAGTATTGTTGTATCAAAATCAATTATTACGGCCATCCTATTTAACAATCTTACATGTTATTGCTTTTTTGTAAAGATTCAAATATTGTTCATTTTATAAGCGCCGTATTTCCTTTGGATGTACGATAATGTAAATAGAAACGTTAACACCATATAGCGTAAATAAATAAGCTAACGCCCACATAAATCGGGCTAACAATCAAGCTATGCGTAGAAAGTTTTGCTTTAACTTACTTTCGTTTTAATCTGTAGCACATTGTTAGAACAGTGTGTGCGCTAATTAATCATGAAGCGAGCATACACGAGTATACAGTGCCGGATTAAACACGTAGCAAAGTTAGCAATTTAAACTGACTCATCTCTGCTTGAGGGTGAAACTTATTAGACTAAGTAAGAGTATTGAATTGTTTTGTTTTTACCAATTTATCATACATTATTTATGGATCAATGGCACTGCGAATATAATAGCGGTAACGTACGCTCTGCCTGTCTTTTAGGCGACTAAAAGGGCGTTTTGGGTTCACCGGTGATCAGGGTTGAGCGGGTTACGAACCCGGGATGGAGGGCAATACGGAGGGCACAGCTGAAGGCTCTCCCTCTCTGTATGACCTCAGCAAGAGTTCGGAAGGGCATCCGTGCTTTCCACTGGTGATCCTGCAGTAGGAATGGCCACCGCGGTTAGTGAACAGAAATCTCTCAAATCATGTAAGAAGATTTCCCCGATACTAAAAACAGAAAAGATGGTGAATGGTGAATGGGTTTTTAGCGGATATGAATTCCCGTACCGAAGAGTTTTTATGTTTTTCGATTTTCGGCATATATTATGGCATGACACATGAGCTCCGAATTATATGCAAGGATCCGGTAAAGTATGCAGGACTACTCTTTATATTTTCTTGTTACTTACACCTTTCAAGTTTTTATTTTTCTATGTTTCTATTTTTTCAAGTTCTTATTTTTAGCATTCAATCTTAACGAAATAAGACATTAGGTGTATAATGTATTATTGTACGTGGCATTTTCCCTTCCATGGTGGGATTATTTTTTATTTACATTTATTTAGTGTTTTGAAAGAGTAAATAACTTTTAAAGCCACTTTTAATACTATTAAA